GTTGAAGGGAAGGAACACACACACCCTTTTCACAGTACATGGGAAACATTCACAGCTGTGGCTGTCAATCACTGGTTGTGTACTAAAGCTCTCCTTATTGTCACCAATTATCTATTAATATCTGGAAGAGCTGCCACAAGTGACAGAAGAACCTGGCAGAAGAGAAAAATCATACGCAGTGCTTTGGATAAAGACAAGCAGACGGATGTATAGAAGGATGTGTTTTGTTCATAATTAATGTCTGAGGTTTATAACCACTTTAACAACAAATGATAACATTTATAAAATCAATACAAATGGTATACTTGATTCCAGATTGGTTAGGGGATCAGCCTGTGTTAATGGATATTCACAATCAACAAGTTGGCCTGATGCAGGTCAAATCCTGATCCTGATTACAAAAGAAATTATTTGACCCAATGATGGCAGGATTGAACGATTTTTCAGAATTTCTGTACAAGCGTTCAAGCAAAATTCTACGGGTATATAGCCAATCTTGACTTGGGGTGGTGTTGCTAGACTGGCCATAACTTATTTGGGCAAAGTAGAAAATAGTCAAATGAGTGCTCCTGTCAGTGATCTTAATTTCCCAACCTAATACTCAATTTATGGGACCAGACTGCTTACATTCAGGTCACACAATAGCACACTTTCCCAAATAGTGGCAGCTTAACACCTGTGCCACTGTGCGACCCATCTAAGAAAAAATAAATAAATAAATTAAATCTGCCATATGTTAAACATCTTCACATGCTGCCTGGATCCTTGGCATCAATTCCATTGACTGCAGATACGGCCAGTAATTTACTGGAGAATCTTCCTGGGAGTGTTTCAGCATTTGTAAAAGTTCAGGAATATTACTATGTGCAATTGCAGTGCAGAAGGACTATTATTAACGGTTCTCCTAGGACATTTTTGTATTTTTCTACATCTTGCATTTGTTAAAATAAGGGGATAATGCTATTACTGTCAGGTTTCTGTTAAAATGGTACACACCGGGTTGCCACATCTGTTCAACAGATGCAGCATCGCCCTTCAACAGCCAAAACATTAACATTTTTGACACAAAGCAGCCTGGAACACGCACACAGCTCCGGAGAATAGCAGACGAGTGATAGGCTTGTGGAGTCCAACACTCTTATTTAGGGGAATGCCGATTTCACGTTAGCTTGAATAGCAAAGGGCCATGATATAGCTCACATATGCACACTATAGATGAAACCACTGGGTGAGCTTACAGTCATGGGGCAATGGGGATTTTGCAAATGCATTTATTTATTTTATTCATTACAGGTACTTATATAGCGCCATCAAGTTACACACAGCACTTTACATATATATTGTAGATTCACAACAGTCCCTAAACCTCAAGGGGTTTACAGTCTAAGGTCCCTAACTCATATTCATACAATTTAGACAGGATCCAATTCACCTAACAGAATGTCTTTGGAATGTGGGAGGAAACTGGAGTACCTGGAGGAAACCCATGCAGACACAGGGAGAACATGCAAACTCCAGGTGGGTGTTGTCGTGGTTGGGATTGAAACCAACAACCGTAGTATTGCCAGGTGGAAATGCTAGCTAACCATTTAGCCACTGTACTGCCCCATTTATTGGAATGCCTGTGCATTACCATTTAGATGTTCACATCATAATGGAGGGATATGTGGCTTAGAAAGGGATCTAAATTTTAAATCAAAAATCCACAAGAGACTAGAGAATAGTACTCCATTTGGCTAGGTTCAAACCTCTGCGTGTTGTGATTCATGCATTTTTCATTGTGTGTGTGTTTTGCATTTTTGAACATGCTTTTTCACTGCAGTTTGATTTTTTTTTTGACAATAGGAAAGTATTGAAAGTATTGACTTTATTATTATTATTATTATACAGGATTTATATTGTGCCAACAGTTTGAGCAGCGCTTTACAAAATCAAGGTAGTCATTACAGTTTTCAATACAATTAGGTACAAGAGGAAACAAAGGGTCCGGCTTGTTAGAGTTACAATCTAGGAATTTGATGCCACTTTGATGTGACTTTGGATGGGTGCAACTTTAATGCGACTTTGTTGCAACTTTGAATGGGTGTGACTTTGATGCAACCAACTTGGATAAGACATTAGATGATGGGTGAGACTTGGAAGCAACTTTAGATGGATGCGACTTAGATGCGACTTGAGTGCGAGAGAATGTAAAGTCACATCAAAGTTGCACTACATGAACAGAACTGTCATACTTTCCTATTAGCAAAAAAAAAAGTTGCATCAAAGTTGTGCACCCATCCAAAGCCGCATCAAAGTCACACCCATCCAAAGTCACATCAAAGTCGCATCAAAGTCAATACTTTCCTGTTGGCCAAAAACCCCCCGCAAATTGCATATAAAATGCACCACATGCCTTTTCTGCTGCATGTCCATTGAAGTCTATTGACCAGGGGCAGACTGACAACTCATGGGGCCCCCGGGCAATAGGGGATCATGGGGCCCCTGTGTCCTTGCCCAAACTCAAAAAAGCCTATGAAAAAGGTAACAGGGGCATCTCATGGGGCCCCCTACTGACCCCGGCCCTCGGGCAGTGCCCGAGTTTCCAAATGGTCAGTCCGCCCCCTGCTATTGACTTAAAACATTCCTGACCCTTTCCAAAAATGCAGCAGCTGAAAAAGATGTGAATATGTCCTAAAGGGAACCATGTTAAATGGACTGTAGTGCGTTTCTGCAAAATACAAAAGGCACTAAAAAACACATCGGCCATATGAACCAAATGACATGCACTAATAAATGCAATAAGTATGGCTAAATACATATGATACTATAATCAACTATGTGATATACAAATCCTCCATGACTAAAACAACAAATCTGTGCAAATAATAAGTGAACAAGTATAATGACATAAAAATTAGAATTAAAAATAAAATATATATGGATAGGAAATGTTTGTGACTCCAAAATCCATATATCTTTTATACCGTGCAATGTGTATTTTATGAATATGTCCATGAGCTGTGAATATCCGTTCCGCAGTGATCCTGCTCACCTTAGATGTAACCTCCAAATTATAAGAATTATAAGAGGTCAGATCAACCGCCCCAAAACATTAAAGGGAAGCGGCTCCACCCCTCCATTCTCAATGGCAATCAGGGGATAAAGCTCCTGATACTATCCTCTCATATCCATCAGATCAGCTCCATTCCATGTCATGTGCTTCTCAAAATAATAAAGCCAATAATAAATCAAATCTAAAGTTATCCAAACAGATTATATTATTATTAAAAAAACTGAATCTCATATACTCACGAAATTATGTACACAACCGGCATTATTAAAAGCAATCCAACCGCTTTCATTGAGATCAGAATCAGCACCAAAACAAAATGCAGAGGCTGTAGTTAGCAACCAAAAGCCGAGCATCCGGGAGTTATGATGTCATGTCAAAGCTCCGCCCTTACGCATTACGTCCCTGGGAGGGGACTTCTTCAGAGAGACTTCATCACAGGGACCCTGCAAGTTCTTCTGCCTCTGCAACCAATGAGAGAGGACCCAGCCTCTGGAAGTGTTACGTCCACCAATAGAAGGTGTCCACATAACACAGGCAGTGATATGGACACCCGAAGAAGGACCCCAGGATGTAAACAAAATAAAAGCGAAGGATCATCATCGGACCATAGCTTCATATAAGTAAAATAGGTGTTTAGTTTTTTTGCATACCAGTAGCTAGTTAGAGGGATGTGGGCTTGCTAAAATCCTGGAGCTGGGACTTAAAGTACAACTATAGGCAAAACATTTTTTTTTTCATTCTGGATAGAACAAGAGAGGATTATAACCCGTCAGGTTTTTTTTGGGGGGTTTTTTTTGCCATCTGTGTCCAATCTCAGAGATTTCCTTTCACTTCCTGTCCCATAGCCAAACAGGAAGTGAGAAGAAATACCTGCAAGTTAAGGGGATTTATTGGGGACATCCAGGTCACCAGAATTGGTGTCCCCTTTGGAAGATTTCCGCTTTGGAAGATTTACTTTTCTGGGGACAACCCAAAATGTGGGAATTTCTTTTACTTTTACTTTCATTTTCAATGATAATGGTAAACAGGACAAAACAGGGGCACAGACAGCAATAACTGACAGGGGTTCTAATTCCTTTCCACTCTACCAAAACTAGAAAATAAAAGGTTTGCCTTTAGTTATACTTTAGTATATGAAAGTGCTGTCTTAGAAAAGAAAAGACTATCTACTAACTAAGTTTTTAGATGTTGCCTTCCGCTGCCTTTAGTAATGCTGCAAACTGTAATAAAAATAGCCGTGTAAATAACTCTTTTTGAATTATTTTTTTTTTAGTGGTCAAGTGATTGTGCAACCCCGGGTCCTGAGTGGCTGCTGCAGTCAGTGGCAGGAGACCATTAATTTTAATTGGCTGCCCTATGCGCAATGTGCAAAAAAGATGCCAGCACGATTTTTAACCACCTTCCGCCCGCCCTATAGTCCAACGACGGGCGCAAGGTGGTTCTCTCGTTCTGATAGGACGTCATATGACGTCCTACTATTCTCACTGTGCATGCGCGGCTCAGGGAGCACGCAGCGCGGCGATCGCCGGTGCGCTGTGTCCCTCGGACACAGCGGATCACGGAAAGAGCCGAAGATGTTGTCGGCTCGGTCACGTGATCAGCTGTGTCCAATCACAGCTGATCACATGTAAACAAGGAAATGCCAGTTATCAGCATTTCTCTCCTCTCGAGCTGTCACGCTGACAGCTCGAGAGGAGAGGAGAGCCGGTAATCGGCTTTCCGCGGAGGGGACATGTACACTGATCATCAGGGCACTGATGATCAGTGTGCCCTGATGATCAGTGTGGCCCCAGAAGTGCCACCTGTCAGTGTCCATCAGTGCCACGTGCCAGTGCCCATCAGTGCCACATCAATGCCACATATCAGTGCATACCAGTGCACATCAATGCCACATATCAGTGCCCATTTGAGCTGCCTTTCAATGTCACCCATCAGTGCCAGTCAGTGCCACCTATCAATGCCAATCAGTGCCACCTATCAGTGCTGCCAATCAGTGCCACCTATCAGTGTCATTCAGTGTCGCCCATCAGTGCGCATCAGTGCCAGTCAGTGCCGCCTATCAGTGCCAGTCAGTGCCGCCTAATAGTGCCAGTCAGTGCTGCCTATCAGTGTCGCCTATCAGTGCCATATATCAGTGTCATGTATCAGTGTCATGTATCAGTACTGCCTTTCAGTGCCCATCAGTGATGCCTGTCAATGCCCATCAGTGCAACCTACCAGTGCCTCCTCATCAGTGCCACCTACCACTGTCCATCAGTGCAGCCTATCAGTGCCCCTCACTGCAGCCTCATTAGCGCACATCAGTGAAGGAGAAAATTCACTTATTTACAAAATTGTATACCAAAAACTAAGAAAAAACTTTTTTTTTCAAAATTTTCAGTGGTTTTTGGTTTGTTTAAGAAAAAATAAAAATCCCAGAGGTGATTAAATACCACCAAAAGAAAGCTCTATCTGTCTCAAAAAAATGATAAAAAGTTGATATGGGTACAGTGTTGCATGACCGCGCAATTGTCATTCAAAGTGTGACAGCGCTGAGAGCTGGAAATTGGCCTGGGCAGGAGGGGGGTATAAGTGCCCTGTAGGCTAGTGGTTAAAATTACTCAACACCAAAACGCATGTTGCTGTGGTACCATATGTTTTGGCGAGTGTGAACAAGTGTTTATTTGCTAGATGTGTGGGGGTGCTAACACGAAATACTGGCACATACCTGTAAATGGGCAGATCATTTTTGTGCGGTGCAGACAATGTGTGATTTTGCAGTGATAGCTACATTTAGATTATTAAACATGGATTGGTTTATTTGGACAGCACATATGTTTTTCTTACTTCCCAGCTATATACTATATATGAACCCAATTATGTTTTGAGCTTAATCACAAAGTTCATTTTGGAATTTTCCCATCTTATATTATGGCACCAGACAGAGGGCAGACACTTTCATATTACTGAAGTGTGATAAATGTTGTAAAAGCAGCAGCATGAGGAGCACAATGGCTTCAGCTGGCCACACACTTGTAAAGTTTCGAACAAACGTTTGTATAAACATTCATACGAAAAATCTTTGTACATGCAGCAGCTTGACGAATGTTGTTTGAAAGTACTTCTAAATTTCATTTGCTTTTAACATTTCATTTTGGAACAAATGGGCTTTACAGTACAAGAAATTCATACACTGTTGAGAATTCATTAATTCAAGAAACAATTCCATATTGCTCCTTCATATTTTCTTGTTACTGTAGTTGAAACCAAATGTCAGTTTGAATCCACTAATTATTTTATTTATTTATTTCAGGTACTTATAGAGCGCCATCAATTTACGCAGTGCTTTATATATACAGTATTGTACATTCACATCAGTCCCTAACCCTCAAGGGGTGTACAATCTAAAGTCCCTAACTTACATTCATACACATAATAGGGCCAATTTAGACAGGATCCAATTAACCTATCAGCATGTCTTTGGAGTGTGGGGGGAAACTGGAGTACCTGGAGGAAACCCACGCAGGCACAGGGAGAACATGCAAACTCCAGGCAGGTAGTGCCGTGGTTGGGATTTGAACCAATGACCCGAGTACTGCCAGGTGGAAGTGCTAACCATTTAGCCACTGTGCTGCCCAATGATTAGCAAATCGAATTAACGTTCTTAAAACAAAAAATATTGAAGAAAATACTACTACAGTATAGCCAGCTTTAGTGGTTAATGTTTCAGCTTTGCAGCACTTGAGTCCTCGGTTTGAATCCCAGCAAAGACCTTATGGGGTGTTTTACTAAAATTGGAGAGTGAAAAAGGTTAATTGAAAGAGCTGAAGTTAGAAGCTGATGGGCTACCATGCACAGCTGCATCAGGTTCTGTGTGCTCCAATTTTAGTAAATCTCCCCCTATATGTCAATGGAGGATGGAGTTTGCATGTTCTCCATGTGCTTTTGTGGGTTCTCCCTCACTTCAATACACACAAGAGATTGTAATGGTAATTTTTTTTATAATTAAAATAGTAAACATGTCATACTATGGTATTGCACAGAGCAATCTTTTATACCTCCTCTTCTGGGGTCCCCCACCAGCACTCTTAATTTTTCCTCTTCTGTGTATGCCCCCACAGAAAGCTGTGTGCTATGGGGACAAACATGCAGATGCACTCCTGAGCTGGGCTGTGTGTATCTATAGACATATACAGCACAACTTGGCCCCCCACCCTGGGAATGCAGCCAGGCACAGCGCTGGATTGAGAGAGGACTCAGGCAAGTGTTTTTTTTTTTGGGGGGGGGGGAGGGTGCACAGCAAGTGGTAAAATGTTTTTTTTACTTTACAGCAGGGTATGCCTTAAGGTAAGAACCATTTTAACTTTAGAACCACTTTAAGGGAATGATGTGAATGCACAATATGTTAAACAAGGAGTACATTTTTGGCTCTATTTAAGTACCTGTTATAAATAGATGGCGAGCAAGTCATAAAACTGAGCATGCATCCCAAACATGGCACCACCCTCCTGAAGTTTGCATGTTCTCCCTGTGCCTGCGTGGGTTTCCTCCAGGTATTCCTCCCACACTCCAAAGACATGCTGGTAGGTTAACTGGTTCCGGTCTAAATTGTTCCTAGTATGTGTATGTATGAATGTGAGTTAGGGACCTGAAATTGTATGCTTCATGGGGACTGATGTGAATGTAATATATATATATATATGTAAAATGCTGCATAAATTGACTGCGCTATACAAGTACCTATAATAATAATATGTGCACTGCACCGGACATATTTTATCCGATACGTCTTTCTCCTTTGTTCCATATGATATGGTAATTAATGTGTGCCAGTGTTTGAATTTCTAATTGTGACATTGAACACAAACTTTATCACTAGAAGATATTTCACCCTGAGACAGCGGGTCAATTAATAAATATGTACAGTAAGTGTTTAATATCCTGCTAATTCTATCCTTGTATAAGAAAAGTGATAATGTCATTAGTAATATCTGGGTAGCAGTGATGTCATAATTCAAGTCTAGAAACAGTACAATGACCTAAGTCACTTGACTCATTCAAAGTGTTCCATGGGGGAATTCATGATTGTATAGGAAGGCAAAGCACATCTGGAAACCGGGAGAACTTCATATATTAAGGTTACTTTGTTTTAGGCAGGAACAAGAAATAACATCATCATAACAATAACAACCTCCTTAATGTGAAAATATTTTTGAGTGTTTCGGGTCCTTTCAAAGGGCGGTCCGATAGTTCCGCCACTCAGTTTTTCAGGTGGATCTGATCGGAAGCCCAAGGTTAGTCTACAGGCAGGTGATTAACATCTGACTAACTCAGATTCTGTCTAGATCCAGAAATGAAAAGCGGAAAATATGTGTGTTTTACTGGTTTTGGATCTAAACATAGAGTTTTTTCTTAATTTATATTGCTTTTGTGCTTCCATCTCTCTCACCTAGGGGACATTCACCCCTCCTCCCTGCGTTCTGCACATGGTCATAAAGTTGTGGTAAACTCTTACATAGACCCAGTGCAGTGACTGGCCTCAGGTGATACCCAGAGATGAAACAAATCCTCCTACATAAGTTGTACCTGTTTATTGGCGTATTTTATTCTCTACAGCTGTTCAAAGTCCAGAATGTATACATCTTGTCTGAGCTTTCAGAAAGCAGGGGGCAGGTAGCTGAAATTATGCTCTGCAGAGCTCAGTGAGAGCTGATTGAAGGGAGGACACACACCCCCTTCACAGAGCTCACAGGAACAGAGTTGAGGCTGTCAATCACAAGTTGTGTGCTGGAGCTTCCTCCCCATCACCCTTTCATCTCTTGGTGTCAGGAAAACATCTCAGAAGTAACCAATGCTGATAGCAGAGGAACAACGCAGCAGAGAGAAATGACACTTAGAGGGGTATGCTTTGTTCATATTTTATGTCAGAGGTTTACAACCATTTTAAGGTCCCTGCACAGCCCTGTGGCATTTATGTCATGCATGGGGTTTTCTACGTGCATGCGCAAAGATGGAGCTGGTAAAGAAGTCCCAACACTTGGCCTATTTCTGCATGCACAGAAACATCTGGTGGTGCGCATATGTTTTGCAGGGCTCTGTAGGGACCTGACAGAGGGTATGGCCAAAACTGAAGGAAATTGAAGTTCCTCTTCAAGCTTTGCTTTACAGGCTGTGGGAAAAAAAACTGAACAGACATAGTACTACTCTGATCCAGCAGGGGATCTGTTCTTGGATCCCCTACTGATCGCAATGGATGTTGCCATTGTGAAAGACTTTTTTCATTTTGGATAGAGTAGGGGAGGGTTAATATCCTTGCCACCTGTGTCCCATTGGGGAGATTTCCCTTCACATCCTGTCCACAACATATGAGAAGAAATATTCTCAAAGTGAGGCAATCCCTGATTGTCACCAGGACTAGTATCCACACTGGAAGAGTTCCCTTCTTGTCCCCAGGACTAGTGTCCACACGGGAAAATTTCCTTTCTTGTCACCAGGACTAGTGTCCACACAGGAAGATTTCCCTTCTTGTCACCAGGACTAGTGTCCACACGTGACGATTTCCCTTCTTGTCACCAGGACTGGTGTCCACACAGGAACATTTCCTTTCTTGTCACCAGGACTAGTATACACACTGGAAGAGTTCCCTTCTTGACCCCAGGGCTAGTGTCCACACTAGAAGATTTCCCTTCTTGTCACCAGGACTAGTATCCACACTGGAAGAGTTCCCTTCTTGTCCCCAGGACTAGTGTCCACACGGGAAGATTTCCTTTCTTGTCACCAGGACTAGTGTCCACACAGGAAGAATTCCCTTCTTGTCCCCAGGACTAGTGTCCACACGGGAAGATTTCCTTTCTTGTCACCAGGACTAGTGTCCACACAAGACGATTTCCCTTCTTGTCACCAGGACTAGTGTCCACACAGGAAGATTTCCCTTCTTTTCGCCAGGACTAGTATCCACACTGGAAGAGTTCCCTTCTTGTCACCAGGGCTAGTGTCCACACTAGAAGATTTCCCTTCTTGTCACCAGGACTAGTGTCCACACGGGAAGATTTCCCTTCTTGTCACCAGGACTAGTGTCCACATGGGAAGATTTCCCTTCTTGTCACCAGCACTAGAGTCTACATGGGAAGATGTCCCTTCTTGTCCCCAGGACTAGTGTCCACATGGGAAGATTTCCCTTCTTGTCCCCAGGACTAGTGTCCACACAGGAAGATTCCTCTGCTTGTCATCAGGACTAGTGTCCACACAGGAACTTCTGTTCTGGTGACAACCCAAAGTTTGGGATTTCCTTTTACCTTCACTCATGATGATAACA